AGCTATATTTAAATAACAGAAAAGCACACACAAACATAACTACTATCTACATATTAGGCCCAATAAGACAAACAGACTTACAGATATGACACTTGAAATATTTCACATATGACCGCCAGCCGGAAACCTCAAGAGTGCGATGAGGGTAAATAATTTGAGTTCTCTTCGAATATTTTTGAGCTATTTATGTACTACTCACAAGCTGGAGCTTTACATAATAAATGACGCATTGTTTTCACAGAAACCATGAAAAACTGGTAGTCAATTTGGACTTAAGCAAATCGTAACTACGTTAAGTCCGCTGGAAACACCGTTCATATAATACTGAAGGGTAGAAACATATGCTTAAAAAATGTATTAATAATTCAATAACCTGAAACTTTTATTTATGATTTTCGAATACCTTCTACATTGAGTAATATTCGCTGTTGCTGGAATTGGATGGAAAAGTAGAAGTGGTTAGTTTATGAAATGATAATGGAAAGAATCGCGAAGGAGTTTTTACAAACATTATACTCTGGTGCTGATTCAGATTTATAAGCCGGTAAATTTTATTTTCAAACACTACAAAGTCATGAGCCTAAACCTATCGTTACGGATATATTTAGGGATCCTCAATAATTTTTTCAGACAATAATGTTCCGGCTGTTTATGAGATTAAGTTTTCAGATCACAGGTTCAACATATATTCCAGGTAATTGTTTGATTAAAAATACATTCGTATAGATTTATATGACCTCTTTCACTCGTCATCCGACTGCTGTCAAAGGCTTTTATCTCTCTGAATCTCTCTAACTGACTAGACATTTGATTGTAGAAGGCCATCCTGCAGTACAGCTATTTTACGATCATGAGTACATTAATCGTTTTCCACCAGTTACTTGTATATTGTATACTATAAGGTTAACTGACAAATATAAATATATATTAAACTAGTAAAAGCATAAAATACCAGTGGCTGAAGCACAATTACAAACTAAGAACTCACTTCAATGACGCTGAAGAAAAGGCTAGTGGCACCAGTAACTCGGACAGCAGTTGATAACCGTTCTTGAATTACAGTCCAACAAGTTGTAGTACATGGGCAAAACGTAGTATTCCCCACATCTGGACCTTGGCAGCATTTAGCAGTTTGGCCATCAAGTGTATCGCAGCACGACAGCTAGAGAAAATAGAGTGATACCACTAAATCACCTCCTTAAGTCCGATTAAAAACTAGAGATGGATAACCTAGTCTGATATAAGAATAATATCCTGTCAGTCAAAGTTGTATTACTTAAAACTAGATTAACAGGATATCGAATAAAAAATGGTAAAAAGTGCAAAAATATATAAGCTAATCAGTAAGAACAGGTTAAAACAAAATAACATATCTACTTTGAATCCAGCACAATAGCGTGGTAGACTGAGTTACACCAGATATATATGCGCTACGCAAAACAATGAGAATAGGAATAGAAAAAGAATGTAAGGTGCGTATAAGAGAGAAGAAAAAAAGAGAGAACAATAATGACCACAGATTAGTGTATGGTAGTGTCATAATAACGATAATAATAATGGAGGAAACGGAAAGGTGCAACCAGAAAGAGTTCTTTCAGTTGAGGAAGTACAACCACCTTTTATGAAGAAAGTACAAGGTTACAGCAGAATCGCCACTGGCTTCTATTCTGGGCCATATCTGATAACGTCTTAAGCCGCTGTGTTGCACCATCTCTCGGACCCCTGCCTGGGAGTCGAGAAGGAACAACAGAAGCCAGCCCTTTGCAGCTTTCTTTCATACCACGACACCATGTCATACACTGACCACCTTTCCGCTTTTTCCAACCAGTCCCAGCGTCGGCAAATAATGCACGACGAGGAATTCTTTGGGACGACATTCGTAGAACATGTCCAAGGCACAGAAGTCGATGTTTCAGGATGGTAACACCAATTGGATTGTCGTCTCTGCGTCCGAAACTCTGCATTACTATGATGGCGCTGCCACTGGATATCAGCGATCCTTCGGAGACAACGATGACCAAGCACAGAGAGTCGTCTAACATCCTCAACTCGGAGAGGCCAGGTTTCACAAGCATAGAGCAAAACTTCTCTCACCGACGCGTTGTAGATCCGACCTTTTACAGCCAGACTGACATCACGAAGGCGCCAAAGATGGCCCAGATTGATATAAGCCGCTCTGGCTTTCATTATACGTGGATCGATCTCATCACTCATGCCACCACCAGCACTTATGTAGCTACCTTGATACACGAACTTCTCGACTACTTCTATCTGCTCACCATCCAGAGTGAGTACAGGATTAGAATCCTGCCAGTCTTGTGGAAGTACTTTGAACTTCGAAGGTGCAAAGCACATACCATACCTACGGACACTGATTGACAACTGATTAAGTGCGGATTGCATGGCTTGGGCATTCTCGCACAGTAAGACATATCATCCGCGTACTCAGGGTCGAGATGTCTTTCTCCAGGCAACAGATCCACACCACCATTACTTACGTCCATCAGAGCTGTTTCCAGAATGTCATCGATGGCAAAGTTGAAGAGGAATGGTGAGATTGGGCAACCCTGTCTAACCCCACTGCTTGAATGGAACAATGGAGAAAGGTGGTCGTATGCCCTCACTCTACTTGAGGTGTTTGTATATAGGACTTTTAGGATGTTAATAAACTTCTCAGGCACACCCTTCTTCAATAGACAATCACAGAGAGCAGTCCTGTCCAACGAATCGAAGGCAGCCCTGATGTCAAGAAACATTACGATTGTTGGCCTGTGATAAGTATGATGGTGTTCTAACATTTAGCGGAGGGTGAAAATATGATCAATACATTCTCGACCAGAACGAAAACCAGCCTGCTCCTCGCGAGTCAATCTTTCTCGGGTTTTGAACAACCTGAGAAGCATGACAGGAGCCAACAGCTTGGACGCAATCGGAAGTGGACTTATCCTCCAATAGTTGTCACAGAAACGACGTGAACCCTTTTTAAAGATAGGGACAACTATCGGCTCGTTCCATGATGTTGGAACACTCTCCAGCTCCCAGACCTTTGTAAACAACGTTGTCAGTTCCTTAACCAGAAAGTCACCACCATCTTTAAAAAGAGCTGGAGGAAAGTCATCTGGGCCTGGTGATTTGTAGCGCTTTAAGAGTTAGAGTTACTTGCGAACTTCCGCCTCATTCGGTGGATCAATCGTCACCAGCCATGGAGGGCAGGACAGTCTGATCGATGTTGCCGGAGCAGCAGACCAGTTGAACTGCCCTTTGAAGAATTCTGCCCATCGTCCAAGACGTCGATGGATGTTAGTGATTGGCATCCCGTCATCTTCACAGATTGTTTCGCTCACACCAGACTTCTTGCTGCCAGTGGCTCGGATGAGTTGAAAGAGCTTCCGGTAGTTACCAGATGCAGCTGCCACTTTCAGCTCATTAGCGTTCTCCAACCACCAGGCTTTTCAGTCCTCAGCTTTGCCCAATTTCATTGCGTAACAGCCTTCGTTTGTGGTCAAACTCACGGTCACCCATAGTAGACCGACGGGCTCCGATGAATTGTAAGGAGCCTGCGGAAACCCAGTGCTTATAAGCGGGACTTTTCGCGAAGCCGCAAGCGGCCTTACTCGCCATTTTCATGGCGTCATGCAGTTGCAACTAGTGCTCATCTACACATTTTGGTGGGATGGTAGCTAGCCTAGAAGCTAGCTCACTTTGATATTTAGTTACATCAGAAGCTGCAACCAATTTACTGGCATCAATCCGTTTATGACGATTAATTCGTTGACCACTGAAAAGTAAGGTAAGATTGGTGCAGACCAGAGCATGATCAGAGTCCAGATAAGTACTCCAAAAGGAGCAGCAGTCTTTTACACAACCACGCCAGCGGTAACTGGTCGCGATATGATCAATCTGAGTCCAGGAGTGAGATGCAGAGGGAGGACGCCAGGTGGCACATCGGTGATGACTGCACCGGATGTTAGTGCTACCTAGAAACAGGTTGTGGTCTGTGAACACTTGGTTTGTAATCATGGTTTACCACCATTCGCTTTTTATCCTCTGAATTTCGTAAACAACACCCCCGCCACGAGAATGCAATGAGTAGGACTGACCCGCAAGTCAGTGGAGCAACGTCAGAAAATGCAGTCTCATGGTAGCCGGTGGCCATACGATTGGTTCATGCGCCATTTGTTCCCCCAGGATACTGGAGCCCATGTGCACCATTGGTTTGGAATCAGGGTTTTCCAACTCCCTTAGGTGGACTCTCCGTTTCCATCGGCCCGGGTAAAGCGCCGAATATTTGCTTTCCGTCCTCCCAATTTCGTGAACAACACCCCTGCATCGAGAAGGCAACGAGTAGGACTTCCCTAGCACAGTCTGTATACGCGTGGCCGTGTGAGAGCGTTTCGAGAGGGAGGGCGGGCCCTCCCCACTCTCGGCCGTACCAGGGCATTTGGGGGCCACCGATTGATTTAGCTGCCTTTCTTCGACCATTCAGTCTAAACGTAAAACTTCCTGCTCAGTGACTGATATTTCGAAGACATTTGCAGCCAAACATCTGTAATCAATACATATTTTCTAGTGGTTGCAGTTATGTCACACGGACAAAAACAAGTTGGCTGAAATATTGGTAAGGTATAAGTGGTAGACCACTGATAATAAGGTTAGGGAGATCTAGATTATCAGCAGTAAAATGTTGATTGTTTAGATACGCGCTATAAAATCAAAGGTTAGCATTTTAGAAGAATTTAATTTTGCAACAAACTGGTACAGTGAAAAGTCAGGAATTGTGACGTAGCTTGATAAAATTATCCATGTTATTTTGTAATATAAAAAAACAGTAAACCATAGCTTCAGGAGCATTATGTGTATCCAGTTCATTACAAATCCAATGTGTTTTGGGAGCAAAACATAAAGTATATACTTAGATAATTGTGTACTATTTCAAGTTATCGGGATTAAAAACGATAATCTCTAACAAGTTAATGTATATAATTAGTGTAGATACTCACCTTGGCTAACTTGCACGGGGGACATCCCAGTGGGTCAGATGGAGGCAGATCGACTTTATGGAGACCACAACATTTAAACGCCGTCATGACAGTTAGTTTTGAGTTATTGGAGCTTTGTTTCCACGCTGTCTCAACTAAAATCTGTTGATAATCACTAGAGAGTGAGAGACAAGCGCATGCTACAGAAAATTGGACGAGAAAGAGGCTGAAAAGTAGGATTATATACTAATAACTAATAAGGGACTATAGACGAGTTTGTGGGAGGTAAATATAATTCACCAAGAAAATCTGCTAGCATTAATTTAAACCCTGAAGTGGAGTCGCGATTTCTTTTACTTGAGTCTTAAGGATTTTACAGATCAACGCTTACACTTAATAGATTATACGACTTGAAACCGATAACATTGCTCATTATCTTAATCCCCACATATCTTACACAGATAACTCTTTTTGGTTATGCATTTTAGTGACAGTGATTACAAGAATATAAAATGGACTAATTTAAGTTAATACACTGTACAACAAGGGAGGATTAAATGAACAGTAGCATATGAGCAAAGATCTTCATTATATTTTCATGAAGATATAAAATCCAACAAGAATAATCACTTACTTTTCCTCAAGGTTGGAAAGTCATAAGTTCGGGAGGTTTGTTTATCTGTTTGAGGAATGTATAAAACCTGTGATTTAATCCGTGCTTGGAAATTATATCCAATTAATTTTAAGATGCTACATTATAGAGTCGAATAACCTATGGCAATAAATTTTTAGCCATCTACTTTGTAATCCTAAATCAATATTACGAATCATCACATTTTGTACTCAATCGTACATTCAGTTAGGGTCTGGTTAAGTTTTATATAGTTGGTAAAAATAAGGGCTGGTACTTATTAGCCGAAGAACAAGGGAGCTTTCGGTGAAGATATAATTTATGGACGAGCCAATCAAGTTTACGAAAACATGTTTTAGATTTTGGCGCAAAATTTATTCACCCATTCGGCTAAATAGCGTCTCGGCATTATAGCTGATGTCAGTTCGTAATGAAAACCTTAAATCTAATTCCTAACTGTAAATCATAATCTTTATTCTTCAAACTGCTTTATAATCCTCATTTAACGCTAGTAAGTAGGCAAACACTCCCAAGGTCACTTGAGCGTTGCTCAAGGGTCGTCCGTAAATTACAGTCTCATCGAACTTTCTTAATGTGCCAAGTACAGAAAAGTATTAGTTTCAGACCAATGTGTCACCCATGTGCTTTAGTGAAGTATTATATCTGCTTCGTGACAGAAAAAACATAATTGCTCCAAGCCAAGAAACGAACTGAGAGAAGCTATCTATGAAAATACAAATGTATTCGTCAGAAAAATTCGATTTTTAAAAGGATACGAAAAATAATATTGCCTGGTTATGTTTGATAGCGCCCAACAATCCAACTACAGCAAGCACAAAGAGGAAGACTCCACAAGCTATTATACCGCCAACAATGTGAACGCTCGTCACATAAATGCTTAGCCGGGCATACGCAGCAACGCCAACAAGAATGAAAGCAATAACCTAAGAAAAATATTGGCTTTTATACACATTTCCCAAGTTACTAAGTAGAGCAAGTTTAAGGCTATGAGCAAGTATTTAGAAGATCTAAAACTAAAAGCCATTATTTGACCAGATTCTTGCTAATTAGTCGAGGTTTTGCAAACGATGTACCAATCTTTCTGAATAGTTTGTGTGTTATTAGGACAGAGATCTAAATAGGTAATTAGTTTGCATAACAAACAGAACAGCACAGTCTACCCTTAGTGTCCAGTCGATTACGGCTTCTAACTAACGTCTTGTGCAGAATTTTGCTGGGAAGTGATGAAATAATGTAGGAATGGAGATGTTTATTGACTCTTATAATTCGATAATCTAAAAATAACAATAAAATGAAAATCGCAGGCTCAGTACTTGTAATATATTTGAGCCCAATAAAAGATCAGGATATAAACGAATTAAAGGATGAACGCGAACTTGTAACTTTATGCTGACCGAACTGACTTACAGAGCCTTGGCGGAGTACCGCGCAGTTTGAAATGTAGCTCTGCCTTCAGTTTTCAGCATCAAGGTTACCCAACTTTGAACCATTTAACTAATTCGTCTATGTCAGCTTGAAGACCAAAAATTGACCAATCTTATAAATTATTCATCACAGTATTTCGACGTCAACTGACGTGCGCTACTTAAAAGAGACAGTGGTCGGTTATGAAGGCACGTGTTAAGTGTTGTAGAGAATTTCGGATGTCGTTATTTACCAGTTATTGACAGTATTTTTCTTTCACATGTCAATTTTCGTAATATTTTGGCTTTTTACATAGCTTTTATCCCATTTTATCAGTAGTTTGACGTAGTCGTTGCTCACAATCGGGCTAAAATCTTTCTTGGCCCGATGTGGTTATTTGTAACAATTCAAACTCAAGCAAGTGAAATTCAAGTCAAGAATAGACTGCAGTCAGAGTTTTGTGCGAAAATCAGCTCTAAAGCTTTTTACATTTGATTCACCTCCATAATTATTTTGGTGAAGAACATGAAAAAATGTAGGTTGAAGCAACTGAGTGTTAAACTACTTTTGAATATTATATAAATTGCTAACAAACAGCCATAAACAGTTCCATCATAATTTTCATTGTTTTCGACTGGACTGACATATTATTATGTAACTTAACTGGGAATGAAAACTTATATGAGTAACAATTGACGTTGATAGATTTTTCTGCCCATTCTCCGTATTGTCAATATGATAGTTGGTGCGCCTTATGTAGGTTGTGTTGTGACGTGCAACTGAGAGTCGGGAGTAAATCCACAGAAATTTGAGTTCTTCTATAAACCATAACCTTATATCCCGCTGGAACATCTGAGGTTATGGTGACGTATATTCCGTGATTTTTTGTAACCACATTTTTATTCAATATCCGTTGTTTTTCTGTATCACTTATGTTAAAAAAGATGATAATTGTTTTGATAAGATTTGAACACACTTTTTACTACCGCGCGGATTAAAATATAATAAATTATCCACGTCGTCTGCCCTTCTGCTTTATTGGACACGGCCTTTGATCGAAGACTATAATAGTATTATAATATCCTTATAGGCCTCCTTGCACTACGTTGGCATTTTGGCCCGGATCACTATTACATAATACTATTGGCCTCTGTCTTCCTAGTAACGACGTTGGTGCCATCAGTCGCAGAAGAACCTACGTTAAATCGAGTGGACTTATTTGTGGTTGTCATCCCAGGGAGCAGCTTTCAAGTAACATTCATTCTGTAATAATTGTTATTACCATATTGCTCAATACACCACTTGTATTTATAATTGTAAATTTGTTACCCTTGGTTTTTTTTTACCCGTACACAGACACCTAGGGTTTCCACTGTTAACTCTTTTGGCATATTATTATTAGTAACCTGGTGTATTAATATATCTTGTATAAGCTTTTTTGCTGGGAACCACCACAAGGTATTAGTGATGGCACAGAAAGAAGTCACCCCCTCCATATGCGTTATCGGTGGCAAGTCTTGAGAGGGCTGAAAAAAGAGGGTAAGAAAAAGAAAGGACTAAAAACAGAGCATATAATGTTCATGCATATTGAAATAGAGTCGTTTGTAATTAAATAATGAAGTTATGACTACTTAGTCTAATTTTCTATTATTAAGGTAGTTTATGAGCAAGAGCATTCTATTAGGTTTATGAAAGCATACGTTAATATGGTATGAATGGACAAAGAACTGTATAAGTAGACGTGGCTCAAAAAGAAGCTGAACGTATAGGATTAAGTAAAGAAATAAAATATGGTACTGAAAACAATATTCTGACACACAAATGGCTATCTACCTTTTTTGTTGAAGCTATTTCTGCTCATTCTTAGTTTTATTGGTTATATAGGGCCATGAGCAGGCTTCGTTTTCAGTAAATTGTCTAGTTTTGATTGTAATAAGGTTACTAGATAGAAAGTGAAACTAATTCAACGTCATAAGCACGATTTGAAGAGGTATTTTGTATAATAAACTACCACTAATATCATTGGTTCGTGATATCCCATGTGACTATAAGCAGCTGTATTTTAACAAAATGTTCTAAAAGGGTAAGAAAACGAAGAGCACTGTTTACAACAAGTAAGACACTTATAGGTACATTCTGTTAGCTGTTATTTCATTTACTTATTGAATTTGATACTGATAGTGAAGTTCAATCGTTTGTTTCATGATTGATTTGTTGTTTTTCAGAATTATATTAAGCTGGATAGTCTTCATACGTTTTTTATGCAACTTATGGCTTCTGTCAACGAATTGAAAGGCTTAAACCTTTCTAATAACCAAGTCCATGCCAGTGAACAACTTGACGAATTTCTGAATACAGGTTATGTGGAGAAACAATTTACAAGTTGACGATAACTGTGTTTTATATTGACAACTGCCACTTTCATTCATTTAATGAATTATCTAAATATGAATATATCAACTATACTCAGTCTTTTACACTATAAATCTTGTTAGCACGTGGAATTATAGTTCAGTTCGGTACTAATATTTGACCTAATCCCAAAACGGTGAATTTGTCATGATGTGTTTGTTTAATCAGTAAAATCTTATGTGAAAGTCTCATCGCTGTCTACACTAACTCACCGTATCGTGACAATTAACGGTGATACTTAGTACTTGTTAAGAACACATTTGTTCTGAAGATAGAATAATATATTTAATGTAAATAGTAATAAGTTCGACATAACGAGCACGTCTGTAAGGCTAAGTGATACCATCCGAATGAATGAATGTCTCCACGTCCACCATTGCCGAGCTTCTCCAAGTGTTACATGTCGAATATACACCCTTTCAGTCATCGTACGCTTGGCTTCGAAGACCATGTGGTTAGGAAACAATGGTATTACAAGTATCCATCGGAATATACTGTCATAGTGAAGAAAATCATACATAAAACGCAAAATTAAGGCAAAACTTCTAAGCCGATGCAGTATCACAAGTTTTCGTAACGAAACAGGTACTAACAAAGCAAACACATAGTTGTATTAAATTTTCACAAACAGTTACCCAGTAAGATTATCAGTACATCTCCCCATGAAAATACGAAGAGCAAAACAAAAATTGAGCAAGAATTCACTGATACATCATCATTATTGGTAAAGGAAGAGCAAAATTTGATGCAGAAAAATCAGTTTACATCTTGGATATATAGCTAAGTTGAAAATACTACTACAAAAGATTTTTTACAGCAAACAGTTCCTGTCAAGTATCCACACTTTGTTATATCACGATCCATACATCTAATCGTAAAGGATGCTACACAAAGACAAGCGTTATAGGAACTACAGCCTTACCCTCATATCGATGATTCTTAAATAAAAATCGGCTTCGCTGAATGTTTACATACTGTTCGCTTCCTCTGGGTAAAGAAATTTTTGTGCCATTATGGAAGGTGTGGGTGTTATATATCTTCCATCGACTGCAATATCTAAGAGTATATATATTATACGTTCAAAATCTTCGCCTACGTCAACTAAAATATCTCTTAAAAATGAGGCATTACAAAAACCAACTGGGCGATTTTTGCAAATCAGCTTTTCATGGTAACATTACTTTACTAGGTAAGGCAAGTATTATTAACATTTAAGACATAACGATTATGTGACATTTCGTCTTAATCCTTGAGTAAAACAGCGATCCACACAAATTTCGCGTATCTATAACTAATAAGTGATTCTTATTTTCGCTACGTTGTTTTCTGGATCTCATCACGTTTTAAACGAGGTCGGTGAGATTCAGTAAAGAAATTATTATCCGAAATCAAGTTACAAAGCAACAGTGTGCACTACAAGTCAGAGTGAGATAAATTAATGTGGTTTTATTTCAGGACAAGGACACTTAAATATGAGAACACTTAATATTCGTGCAACCCAACGGACACTCAACAAACCCACGGCAATTAGCTTACGAATTGATCGCTCAAGGTCGCTAAAACGAAACGCCGGGTGTTTTTGAGAAGACTTCTCTTTTTTTACCGTGACTATTTTTTCGCACTGAGTTATATTTATACTTTTGATTGTTCAGTACACGTTAGGACTACTGTTTTCGTTCTAAATAAAAATATCCCAGTTAAAGTACTCATCATTTAGACGAACTGATCAACGTTAAATTTTCTCAGATAAACTCAGTGTCGATCGACTTGCGTGAAACAAAGAACAACGGACCAACTTCAAAATGGTTTGTTAGAAGCGACAGCTCAAAAAGGCATGTTACTTCTATCTACCACATTCTAAATGGCAAGGTCAAGAAATGCTTAGAATTCCTAATCTTAAGGCTAGGTCAGTTTCTAGCAGGAAAAACAACAGTCTGACCACCCGAGTCACCGATAATCACTTAGGATCTCACAGTGTATGTGAGAAGCCACTGTGATTGCTACTTCGATGAACATTCATGAATTGGGTACAAGTCAGGAATAAAAAGAGAACTAATGTTGCATAAGAAAAGTCCGTCCACCAAAAAGTAGCTGAGAAATCAAAAACTGGTCATAGTACCAGGCAAGTTGTCACTTTTAGTCATGGAAAGTGAAAGCTCAGAATCAAGAACTAGTTTTGAGCGTGATCTCGAGTTGATAAAAAAACTAATAAACTAGATAATGCCTTGGATATCTCCGGATCACCTTGATAAACGTCTGGAGGAAAGCATCCAAGAGTACTTGAACTAGAATCAAGCCATGCTGTAAGAAATAGTATTCAGATCTTCCAGTGAAAGTAACTTGATACCATATAATAGATACAAATTAAAGGGGTCATCAGTTGTTGTCCGTAAGGACCTTGATTTATTTTTGTTATGGTTTGGAACTTTCTTCTAATCAGTTTTGTGGACTTTTCTGGTTAACTGTCATACTAGCGATTATCCTATGTATTAGTGACGATTTTCCATTTTAAATCTGTCTAAAATGTTTGTAAATATGAACAATCAGATTGCTTCCTCCATGTTGAGACAGGGATGCCATGAGATGAGTGTAGAAAGTGGTTTCACATAGTGTGTAATCGTTTAAATTTCACCACACACCAAAAATGTCTGA